CTTATACTTGTGAGGATTCAGAAAAGCAGTATTCCAAACACAAGAGTAGGCTCTCAACATATATCACTTCTGTTCTCTCTTTTCTGCTGTCCTTTAGTTATACATTTGTGTCAGCTTAAATCCAATATGCTAATTTGAAAGCTTCCCAATCAGAAAACACTTTTCCCCTGTATATAGATAGACCAGCTTTGAGTGGTGAATTTTCATTTTGTGCTGTGGCATATTAGCATATAGTATATACATTCTAGCTCGGAAAGCATTACATATGAAAGATTTCTCATGGCACATGCTACTTCTGCTATTGGTTATTTCACAGACAAGTCTCAATTCCCTTCTTCCTTCCTGGAAACCCTAAAATATATCATGGAAGTGAAAAAGGAAACTGGAACTGATTTCAATTATCTAATTAGTGAAACTAAAATAAATAGAAATATTAAACCAGCACCTTTTATTAGTGGGCTCTGCCAGAGTCTTCCCTAGGTGAAAGCATGTCAGTCAATATTTTGGGCCTTTATTATACTCTATCCTAGGCACCAACGCATTAGAAACTTTAGTAAATATTAATGCCTTAAGTCTCCATTATCATTACATAAATTATTGAGCTACTATAATTTTATTAACCCATGATTCTTATTGTTTGTGTCTTCTACTAAATCCTTGGAGTAAGTAGTTAGGCTGGTGTGGTATCCCTAAAGTTGATTAGAACTCCGAAATAAAAATTGTGTCTTTTATTTAATAATACCATTTGGGCACTTTTTATTAGTCTGCAAAAATAAGCCTGAGTAAATGCCCTTTAACTTGGCCTTTCTTATAAGAGTTTGTGAAAGTATTGAATACACAGTTTGTACATTAACTGCAGGACATATTCTACAGCACATACCTTGATCATCCTTCAAAACCAAATTTAGTTGGTGCAAAATTTTCCATAATATACTATCATTGAAATAATAGTACAGTAAATGAAATATCTTAAAATGTTTTTGTCAGGACTAGAACTCATATTGAAAATGGGATATATCTTTTCTAAGATATACAGATCAATTCAATGGTAATTTTGGTTAAGTTATTTACACCATCAGAAGAAGAGGGCTTATCAGTAGTTGTAATTTATTCATGTATTGGCACATAATATTCTATTCCACAATCATCTATAGAAGGATCTCAATTTATTTACATTTATGTTTATTCAATTTTTGCATTAATAATGTTACTCTGAGAATATCCACTAAATAATTATATCTATAAAATATTTATATGCAAAATAAATGGAGAATACACAGTGACATAGAGTCATTTATTTAAAACACATAGATCTGATGCTGGATAAGTGTATGCATAGGGTAGTTGAAAAATTTGCCTTTATTCAGTCATATCCTGTTTGGAAACAGGCAATACCTTCGAGTCAATTCTGAAGCATACTGATTTTTAAGGGTCAATGTAGTGTGTATGTTGTTATTTTATATGTCCGTCATGTGCTAAATACACAAATGATCCTAAAGATTAGGTTAGCATTCACTAAAAAAAAAAAAAAAATCGTTTTAAAGCTACATTAACACTTTTATTTCTGTTAGAATATATTTTTAGGCATTTGCTGAGAGTTTACCTGGGAAAATAAAATTATAAATCTTTTTGATAATAACTAAAAGTAAAAGTTAGCTTACCATATTTATAATGACCTGGATATCCAGAGACATTGTATAATAAAATCAGCCCTCGGACAGATCTCCATACTATCTTCTTAGTGCACCTTTAATCATGGAAGAAAAAAAAAACAAAACTGTCGATGGATAATGTAATTGCTGTTGCTGAACATAGCAAGAGTTACTGCATCTTTCTGATTCGTGAAATCACGTTTGTACATGTCCCTCTCAATGTCATAGGCTTTTAATCTCTTGACATGCTACGATGCAAGATGCAGTTGTAATTATTGCACGATAATTTTTCTAATTTATATTCATTCCAAAATATTTACAATTTATTAGCTGTGGTTAGCATCTTATCTACCTTCCGTTTTTTTTTTTTTTTCAACCTTTACTTATTTTTGGGACAGAGAGAGACAGAGCATGAACGGGGTAGGGGCAGAGAGAGAGGGAGACACAGAATCGGAAACAGGCTCCAGGCTCTGAGCCATCAGCCCAGAGCCCGACGCGGGGCTCGAACTCACGGACCGCGAGATCGTGACCTGGCTGAAGTCGGACGCTTAACCGACTGCGCCACCCAGGCGCCCCTACCTTCCGTTTTTATAGTAGTTCCTGGCTACCTCTCTGAAGATTGGTGGCACGTTTCCCTTCATGTCTCTGTACAAACCAGATGCAGAATGCACAACTTCCTTCAACTATGAAACATCCTACCCACACTCATCTAAAATGACAAGTACTCTCTACACATATCCTTAATTCTACATTTTAACTTCTTTGAAAATATGAACCAGAAGAGATCATTTGAGAAGCACATACATACAGAGTGATGACAATCCTTTGTGGCCCCCTAACACTTAAAATTAAATCTGAGCTATTTTCCAACCATCAAATCTTAGGTATTTTGTCCCCTTCCATCCCTCACCTTTAATATTTTTCTTTTCTTACCCAGAACATTGCAGTCACATAGACTCCAGTCAGTTCTGAGGATAGGCAAATTCTTTTTAGTCACATGGCTTTTGCATGGGCAAATTCATCTGCCTGGAATGCTTTTCTCTGTTCATTTTACACAGATAGATTCTTCTTTTCCATTAGGTTTTTCGTTAAATGTCAACTCCTTAGCAAGACTGCAAGTCTACCTTGCAAAAAAAAAAAAAAAAAAAAAAAAGGTCTTTCCTTGCATTATATTTTTTAACTCCTTGCTTGGTCCCCTCTTGGGCTTTACTGCAGTCAGCAATTAGCAATTACCAGTTGTCTTGTGCATTTAGTTTTATTTTTCTTTCCCCATTAGAAAATAATCTTTCTGATAGGCTAGCTCTTTTTGATATTCAATAAACACTTATTGAATGCATATATACATAAATAAACTAAATATTTAATGTACAAAAAGGTAGGCTAAAGCAGTGCAATCTGGAGCTAAATGGTGCTGAGTGGACTCTAATTTTAATCTCAACTTTAGCATGAACTAGTTATAAGCTTTGGACATTTTTTTTCTTGCAATGAGAATTTTTAAGATCTATCCCTTAGTAACTTTTAAATATATAATACAGCATTATTAACTGCAGTATCAGGCTATACATTACATCCCAGGACTTATTTATTTTATCATTGCAAGTTTCTACCTTTTGACTACATTCATGTATCTCACCCATCCCTCTATCAGAAGATAATTTATACACCTAGAGAAAAAAACATTATTGGGAGCACAGACTCTTTTAAGGTGTTAGGTTTTTACATAGGAAAGCTCTTGATTAAAAAAAAAATTCCTAAAGAAATGTGATGTTTTTTCCTACTGTCAGAAAACAAAATTATCAGCGTCATGAAATTTGATATCACAAAGTCATCACAGCTTATGTCATGAACTTTTAACAGTCCTATCACATTTGTTAGCCACATATTCCCTTACCATGGCCCCATGGTAACATACACTCAGTCTCTGGGTGGGATGAACATGGATGGCGCCAAGGAGATTGTATTTGTTACTTCTGGGTCACTGAACTTCTCCGTCTCCGCCTTCATTTCCATACCTACAAAGAGAGAAAGCAATACTCATACCATGTTTTCCAGAGTGCTTCTGTGAAGGCAAAGTGAGATAATGGATGTGAAGTCACATTGATATTTTAAAAATTATATAAGTCAAAGATACTCTCCCAACCTTATCTTGAAAAATAATGAAAAGATTTGAATACAGTAGGAGAACTTGGAAAAGTTTTAGCATGCTTTATTTGTAGGGAAATTAGCCCCCATTCTTCTACACTGAAGACAGTGGAGGAGAGGCAAATTGGAAAACGAATGTGTCTGAAAAAAGACGGTGGAAAGATTGTTTTGTAACACTTGAAGCATGCAAGCTGCATTTTCAGGCTCCATTATTAAGGATGGGCACTGCTTCCAGTGTTGGTGATACCTGCAGGGTTTAAGTCTCCTTTAAATAGAGGTGGGATAGATACAAAGTAGCTCAGCCACAGCACCTGGTGAAACGCACTGTCACATCTAAAATAAGGAGAAAGGGGGAAATTAGAGCAACTGTGGTTACCTATTTTCTGGACTCTTCCTTCTTCCACTGTTTTCCCAATTCTTTCACAAACTCTAGTTAACTGATTATATCGCTTTTTAGTTTTAAAATTCAGGCCCCTCCCAGAACCTTTCCTATAGATAGGAATTAGGGGAGGCGGGATGGATGGGAAGGAAACCAGGACTAAGTCAATACGCTAATGATTGTACACTGGAAGCATGTTGCTGTACAATATCGCCCCAGAGCCGCTTTGTTTATCAATGAACATCCTGCTGCGTCTCCGAGATGTAGGTCAGGCTCATTGGAAATATCAGCCGCCGATCACAAGCAGTCTTCATGATATTTCCAGACCCGGTGCGCTGCTGATTCTTGCACACTGGAGTGCGTCTGAGCTGCACGATGGAGAGGGGGACACCTGTACCTTAGGGACGCAGGTGAAGCCCCGTCTACCTGATACTTTCCCTGGTGCTTTCTCATTCCCTCAGCCGCTCAATCTTCATCTCCATCTCCCTTGCTGTCTTGGACCCGAGCTTCTCTGCTAAACGGGTGTTTTTCCCGCTCTCTCCTTTCACCGCACCTCAGCCGAAGACGGAGTGCTCCACACAACTGGGCATGCCTAATAACCAGGGAAAGCTTGGGCTGCAAGAAGAAAGCTTTTGCACCTTCTGCGCTCCCCTCCCCTCTGCAGCTGCCTCCTGCCAGTCAGGCCATCCGACGTGCTGCGCGGCCCAATGAGAGTCCGCAGCTTTCGCGGGGGCCCGGCCTCTCGATGCGCCGCCACCAATGAATGGTTGGCGGAGGTGGGGAGCTCCCTGTTCCCGCCTCTCCAGTTAAGGCCGCTGGTGTGAGCCGGGGCTCGGAGCGAGCCAGGGACGACGGAAGGGACGGGCAGGTGTGGGCGCGGGGCCGCTCAGCCCGACGGCGGGAGTCGCAGCCACTCGGTGCATGGGCCAGTGAGGACGCGCGGAGATCCCCGCGCCGCGGCGAAGGCGGAGCAGCGCGGGAGCAAGGCGCTGCCCGGCGACCCTGCGTCCGAGCGAGCGGAACCTTGCGCTTCGCCCGGGGACGGTCCGAAGTCCGCGCTATGGAAGAGGAGAAATATTTGCCTGAGCTGATGGCAGAGAAAGATAGCCTGGATCCATCTTTTGTGCATGCATCGCGCCTTTTGGCGGAAGGTAGGACTTGCTCTCACAGATGGGCACAAATCACTGGCCGCCTATCTCACCCGCGGCTTGGTTAGGGGAGTGAAGTTGGGGAGGGACGCCTGTCTCCTTCGCCGATACTGTCCCCCTGAAGATGCTCGCTTCGGAGCTCGGGCGGACGGAGCCCATTCTTGGGGCGGGCAGCAGTGCTCCTTCTCAACGTCTTAATTTGGGGAAGACCAAAGCTAGGAGATATAATGGCAGTGGTGATGTGACCTGTTAGGATCATTGATGGAGAAACCGTAAAGTGTAGCGCGGTTAACAGGGATATTTTCACTTTGCAGAGGAAAAGGAAATCAGTTTGGAAGTAAATGGTGATGAGTGTAGTGTTCTAAGAGCTTCTTCGCTACAAATCAGCATTTATTTTTATTTTATTTTATATTTTATTTTTTGCTGCATTTGGGAAGTGATTTTGATACCCTTTATCTAATTATAGCCTTTCCTATGGAAAGACTTAGAATTAACCTAGATGAAACTATGCATGTTCGTCAATGTTAGTGAATGTGGCAAAGGCTAAAGTGCTTTTCAATTTATTTGAAGTGTGATGATTGGGTACTCTGTGAGATACTGGCCCCTGGGAACACTCCACAATTGATCAACTGTTTTACCAAGTGTGCATTTTCTTTTGTGTACCTGTAATGTTAAAGGAGATTTCATTCCCAGAAGAACATGTATGTCTTGTCTTTTGTGTTGCTTTGAAAGGTTGTTTAAACAGACACACACACACACACACACACACACACACACACACACACAAACTTATGTATGACAGAAATATTAGCCCAATTACTCCATTCATCTTGAGAGAATGCCATCTATCTGCTAAAGATACAATATCTGTAATAATCTATACATGCCTTTTTAAAAACAACTCGTTTTTTTTTTATTTTTTGATGAATGCTTCATTAATAATGAATTGCTTCATCATCAAATTGACTACAATGCAGTTTTAGCTTAGGTTGTTAGGGACTTACCTATAGCAAAACTAAAAGTGACAACTTCCTCTTCCTTTCCCTTCTTCATTAAATGAAATGTTTTCTTTTTTGAGACTTAGTTGTACATTGAAGGAAGAATTGTAATCCTCCATGTATGATTCAAATAGCCATTAGGTTTGTTTAAATATTTAATTGATGGAGTATTATTTACAACAGTAAAGTTCAAGGTATTTTTCCCTTTTTGCATACTAAACAATTAAGGAAGATTTGTTATCAAAATCTTGAACATGTGAAATAGCTAAACTGCTTCTCAAGGAACAAGTTAGTTTTTTAGAGGATTTGGAAAGGTAAAAAGCAATGATACTTACTTGGTTACTGAATGAAAAAACTAGAAATTCAGATGAAAAGTTAAGTCAATTTAAAAATTAAACTCTCACTCTACTTTATTAAAAATAAAGATGACTGCATAAAAATGATAGGAATATTGAAAATTAATGAGTTAATAAATGCTTAAGTTAAGATTGTTCAAAATGATTAAAAATGCAATTAAGCCTTCTCAAATCATGTATTTCAGTATATCTTCCAGAAATGTCTTTATTAAGCTGATAACGTCTTTAAAATGGAAAAAAAAAGTTTGGAATTGATCATTTTCTCTGACCTGCTAATTGGAGTTCTCTTTGGGACAGCAGGCTCAATGATTAATTCATAAGTCATTGATGAGAGTTAGTGGAGTTAGTGTACATCTCAAAACTGCCAAACTAAAAAAATGCATATAAGAAACTCTTAGTAGAGTGCATAAGTGTTTCTGTGGCTGATGAAACAGTCAGAAAAGGCTATGCCCTTGATTCCTTAGCATTTTATCTTTCCCAGGAACTTGATTTCTTGATATTTAGAAACATGTTCCAGCGTCCTTGTAATTTAATTTTTTCCCAGCAGGGGGAAGCATGTCCTGCTTTTGTAAAGAATTAGGAAAAAACTCTTAAATAGAAAAATATCTAAGTAAGAAACAAAGGGAGGTGTTCAAATTTCAGAGAAATCACATTGAGGAAAAGAGAATGGAGGAAGTGATGATTATAATCTCGGAGTATATAAAGAGCTATGCAAAAAAGATGCATAAGGTTTATATTAATTCTTTATTTGTACCTCAAGTTTTTTAAATGTACTTATTGAAGAGTAAAAGGTGAGTGTCCTTTGGAATCTCTAATAAATCTTAATGTACACTTTACATTATGGATCTTTTATTGTTTTATCCAGGGCCATTTGCCAAGATTTCCAGGTTTTGTTTCAGATCTCTATAGGAGAATATGTTGAGATGATTTTATTTCTCTTACCTGGAAGTGCACTGATTGAAGGCAGTGGCTATAAATAAACCTGACATAGATATTCATTTGGAGAGAAGGTGCACACTGAAGTACATTTCAGTCAGTACTGTGCAGACAGTCTCAAGACTGAGTGAGCAATAAAAATGATCCAGATGATTCAGTTCTTCGGAATGATTTTCTGGAAGCTAATATATATAAGGTCAGTGATGTAAACCAATGAGCTTTCACAGTGATTTATTTTGCATTTTTGATTGGTGATAAATGCAAATCAGTGCTCATTTGCAACTACTTCATAAGGCCATGGGGTTGAAAGTAGTAGTTTGTTAATTATTTTAATTATTTTGATTGTAGTTCATTTTATTTCACTTGTTTCTGCTATGTGTTTTCAGTAGAAAGCTAATGGAAGAGTCCATACGTTTTATGTATTTGATTGTTACTTAGAAAAGATCTTGAATAATATGGTTTGAAGAGTGCTTATGTTTGACTAATTAATATAACTTTCCTTCTGTGATTATAATATTGTTTAATTATCCATTTGTTATGGAAGGTGCTTTCGAATATGATAAAACAGCACACTCAGCGAGATCCTTAAAGTTCCACTCAGCCTCTGAATTTGCTTGCCACATGAAATTAGATGAGGTTATTTCTATCTAAGCTGCTTCTGGAAAGTGCACTAAACTGTGAATCCAGATACCTGGATTTTAATTCCACTTTTGCCTAAACTGAATGTTGATAAACTTCCCTTCCTCCAGGCCCAGTTTCTTTGTCTCTGAAATTAAGGAATTGGACTAGATGATGTATAGGTTTCTTTGTAGTCGCAGACTTCATTAGAATTACAAAGTTCTCTGGTTTGCAAGATTTCCTAACCTGTATTTTTCACAGATATTGGTAGATTCATCATTGTTTTGGTTGACTCATCAAATGAGGAAGTCAAATATTGCCAAATATCCCAACAGTTAAAATGTTTTTTTTTTGTTTTTTGTTTTTTTTTTTTTAAGAACACTAGGTGGTATTTTTAAATTTGGGTGAAAAGCTTGACCTTCCATCTAGGATTGGCTTTCATGTTTGTAGATATGGAATGAAACCTTTAAAACCATGAGAGAAACTGGGAATATTTATCACAAATGGTAACTTGCAGTGACTTAACTACACGTACATTCTCAGTAAGGATCATTATTTAATTTAAATTGTATTCCTCAAAATATTTTCCACAGATCATGGAGAGTTCTTAAATTCAGGAAAGGTATTGATGTAATGTCTAAAACTAGCTTCTGTTAAAAAAAATATTCATGTGACTTTCCTTTTGATTAATGTAACCCCTTTTTTTCTCCTAATACATTTGGGATAATTTGGCTTATGTTTCTTAAATAAAAAACAAAAATTGGCAAAAAAAATGACAAGGTAGTTTTGATTTTCAATTAAAACACATTTATGAGATCGTGGAAACATTCTGCTTTAACAGGCAAAACCCTTGGGACAAAGTGTTGACACTTTTGTCTATTGTGAAATGTAAGGTATGTCATTTACCCCCTCTCTGATTCTCAGTTTCTTCATCTGTAAAACAGGAAAAGTAATATCTACCACCCATGAGTGTTTTAAAGTTAAAACAATTCTGTTTGTAATAATATAAACCATATTTTATACAAACGTAAATAGAATTTTTTATACAAAAATAACAGAAACAGAAATTATACAAATATGAGATGATACTTTTAAGATTTTCCTTAACATTTTAATGGCATTGCAGACTTGACCTCAACTTGAAGCTTGACTTTGTAAGAAAATAAGCACTGCCTTTACTCTCTGAATCACTGCTAAGTGAAATTTGAACTCGGAGACCAAATTATAAAGCAAATTATCTTATGAAAAATTATTCCAGTGAGGGTTTTTAAAATATCATGTTCCTTCAGTCACTGGTCACTTATTCATTGCTTTACTTGAGCTTGATTAGCCCTTGTCCTGTGTGTTTCTAGGGTAATTCCAAACCTTCCCAGGCCTTGCCATAAACCCACACATCCTTCCCTCTTGGCAGCTGATTTCGTCCTCTGTTTTAGTAGGAAATGGATATATCTCTTCTGATGTTTTTCAACCTCCTATCACCTAAAAATTTCTATAATCCTCCTTACTGTCTTCCATTCCCAGAAGGTGAAATGTTTCTTTTTTGTTCTAGGGTGACTCATGTACACCAGTATCCTTAGTCCTAAGGCTCATCATGTCTTCAAGACTTGTTCTACAGTTATATCCCTTCTTCAGTATCTCCACTTTCTTCCTCCCTATCCACTCTTTTATTGTAGCAGCCTGTAGGCATGATCCAATCTGAATAACTTAAAAAAGATAAAATAGTTTCAGTTTACCTCTTCAAAACCCTTCATTCTGGCTTCTGTCCTCATCATTGTCCTAAAACCAGTGACCCTGGAGACAGAATCATCTCCTAATTGCCAAATCCAATAAAAGTTTTCTGACTTCTTATAAGGTCTCTTGGCTGTTTCCACTGCTGGTCTTTTTCCAACTTCTTGGTGTTTGCCTTAGCTTCCAGGCACTATAGTACTGTTGGTTTTACTCTTCTGTTAGCTCAGCGTCCTTTATCCCTTTTCTCCCCTTCCCAGCTGTGCTGCCAGAGTGATTCACTCAAAATAAAAGTTTGACCGTGTCACACTTTTTAATTATATTTTCTTTTACCAGGCTTCCTCTAATGCCATGCCAGCAGAGGGAGAGG